AGCTCAGGTGAAGGCTTTAAAATTTGACCATCTCCGGGCGTTGGTGATAGCTGGAAAAGTTAGTTCCCTCGTAGGTTGGTTTCGCCCCTGGATTTCGCCCCTGGAAGATCTGTCAGAATTCTTGACACGTGAAGGCCATGCATGCGATCCATACTCAAGAGCTTTCCCAGGAGCGCCTGACTTACAAGATAGAGAGCTGAAGAGCTCATTCCTTACAGACCCCTCGACCCCAAGCGCTTCTTGGGACCCGTCTCCCCACCTCTCCGACACTTTGTGGATGACCTACCAAGGTCTTGGTGATTGGGCCAGGAGAAACCAGAAAAGAAGGCAATACAATCGACTGGCTCATGGGGATTTCCAATCTTGTGAAGAGACCTCGGGTGCAAGCATGCTTTGGTAGTTTTCCTCAAGCAGCGTCTATGGAGGAGAGAGGTTGGGTTGGTCATTGACGACTCCTATGCCATTTCAGTTGAGGAGCAATGCCGACAGAGTGCCTCATTGCGGAACTCCCCGGCCTGCTGGCTACTCAGGTCTATGCTGACGAAGGCCTCCTTGAATCTCCGGACAAAGATGTTTGGGACGGAATGGGGCCGAGATTGATGGTAGTGACACTGCCAGAAGACTCGGAGACGTCAGCGTTGCAGTTCCTGCAACAAAGAGATTGGCTTTAGCCTTTGTCTCGACCAGACTGGCTTGTCTCAGATGGACTACAGATTCTCTCTGGAGCTATGTTTTGCCAGTGCGATGCCCCACGGATGTCCTATACTATGTCCTTGTTTTCTGAGGTGTACTGCGTGCGCTCCATGGACTCCGTCGTGCAGATGCGCCGACCCTATGTTGACTTTCGAGGTGAAGAAGTTTTGCTTGCAGCAGTTCTCTGCCCGCTGTTTTCCACTGATATTTCAGTGGTGTTGCTTCCACGATTGTTCGCCGCTGACTCCTCCGATGTGAAGGGTGCCAGTGCCTAGACAAGGTGAAGCTCTTAGGGAGGTCCAGTCAACGGAGGACTATGCTCGGATGATTGCAAGAACAGAAGCTGTGATCAGAAGCTTGATGCCATGGTTGAGGACAAGATCGAAGAGGGTCACCAGGCTCTTTTCCATCCAGAACAACCTCATGCCTTCAGATACCACTTATTCATTGAAGTCCGTGGAGGATCTGGGAAGATTACTCGCGCTGTGGCTTCTCATGGCTAGACTGTTGGACCTGTTCTGAATTTGGATCGGCCCCCACACTGTAACCTATCCTCGCTCCGTGTCCTCCAGTGGCTCTACTGCCAGGAGTCGACAATTCTTTCATGGTGGACTTGCGCAGTATCCAGCTGGCCGAAGTTATACTCAAACAAGAGGCCATGAGCCCTGGGATCCAAAGACTTTGTTGCTCACTACTCTGGCACTACAAGCTCTGGTTTTGATGTTTCTCGCAGGCCCCTTGGACGGGCCAGGATTGCTTGAACAGCCAGGGAGACCAAAGATGAGGAAGTTGGAGGGGTGGATTTCTTTGGTGGCTAGAGGTGTCTGCGAAGAAATTTGGCTCACCTCCTGCATGTATGGGGCCATTCGCAAGAAGGAGTTTGTCTTTCCCTCTTCCTCTCGGAGCCATCAGCATGTGGTCATCAGCTGTGCTGGCCAAGCACAGCTGATGACCACATGCTGATGGCTCCGAGCGGAAAAGAGAAAGACGAACTTCTTGCGAATGGACGGCGTCGGCTACGTACACTGACATGTTGGCTGAAGCCGCGGGCAAGTCTTTCAATGCAGCTCCTCTCAAAAAGCTCAGGAAAGCCCAGACTGATGAGCCTTCTTTTCGAGACCTCGAGAGACCCTTTTGCAATGTAACGGCTTGCTTTTGAGTGGGAGTTGGTCCGTTTCTCATGTTTGAGTATAGGTGGAGGAAAAGCCGCAACCAATTGGAAGCCACTCGACTCAGACTGAGGTCATAGAGCTTCTCGACACATCAGGCAACGAAGCAAAGGGTTGTCTGTCTCTGATCGGTGATCAGCAGGAAGGAGATGAGTGGGCTCAAACTGGAAGCCAAAATATGAAGGCGATTTGCCTTTCACGAGCGATGAAAGTCTAACATTGGAATTCATTGCCAAGATTGCCCTGGACTTAGGTTTCTCCAGCGCGAGCTTCTTCATTAGTTTCACGGCAACGGTTGCCTCATGGATGTTGATGTGCGCAGGCCTCATCGTGTACAAGCGTTGCCCTTTCTCCCACTGTCTCAACGGAAGGGAGCTTTTGGTCAGAGTGACATGGGTTGTGACGCCAGCTTTGGCTTTCCTGGTGAAGGCCTTGTGACGGTGATCCCTTGCCTTGGGTCCTCTTCAGAACCTTGGTTACCTTGTGAGCTCCTTGGGGCTATTGTCGGGAGGTCTGCTGGCTTGTCCAACCAACACAGGTCAATCAGTGCCGGCGTCTAGCAACTCGGTTGATTGCAAGGCTCAAAGGTTCGGCGAGGCTCTTAGCAGCGTTTTGGCCGCAAGCAGAGTTTGATCGTGATCGCGGAGTGTTGACCTTTTTGCAAAGACTAGCTTGTTCACCCCTGGTTCGTCGGTCTTTGCCCAAGGCAGCAGCCACAATGACCCTCAGGAGAGGCAGAGGAAGAATGAGAAGCTAAGTGTCGTCCTGAAGACTATGACGAGCACGGGTGTGGGAATGGTGATTGATTTCACTGATGGGAAAAGTTGGGCAGAAATGTCACCAGCTTCTTCTCCCAAGGGACACTTTGCGATTGACTTGGTTGAGTATCCAAGTTCGTCTATCCACATGGGCGTGAACCACACAAACATGTCTCCTTCAGTCCTCATGCTAATGTTTTGAAGCTGCGTCCTGATAGTTCATGTTCGGAGACAGTTTGTCAAGCTTTGTGTCTTGGGCTGCTGAGAGCAATTTGCACTCAGAAGGATCTGTAGGGCGTGCCACGTCACGAGCTCTCCAACAAGGCCGTCGAGATCGGAGATCGAATTACGCGATGGTCCATGGTGTTCTCAAGCCGTCCAAGGAGAAGACGGCAGCTCTCTCAAGTCAGGGCGCACCACCCAAGGTCACGAGTCCACCCAAGGCCAAGCCTTCACACCACCTCGGCGACGGGCGCCCGATGATGTCCGTGCACTTCATCACAAACAAGATCCGCGTGGCGATGGCGATGGTGGCCTCGATGACTCCGGACGAGCGCCAAATCTTGACAGCTGGCGCCGCACCGGTCCTGGTGGAGAACCCCAACATAGGACTGCAGTATATGTGGTAGTACCAGGCACCTACGAAGATCGCCAAGGCCGTATTGCGAGAAGGAGGGCTTGAAATGTCAGCGCGTCAACGTGGCCAACGGCTTCAACCTCAACAAGCCGGAAGCCTGATGAGTGAATGAGTTCTACACAGTGCAGAAACCCAAACGAATTTGGACCTCTATGAGGTGCACACTTTGGTGCCCCTGGACTTCTTTGAGCTACAACACGGAGATCAGGATGGAAGACCTCGAAACCAAGCGCCGTTGTGAGCGCCTCGGTTCCTAAGCGTTGTGGCTTGGTTGAGGAAGTTCTGTCGGGCCCAACAGTTATGGTGACCTCCGTAGCCAAGTGGCTCAGCAAACTCTTCATCCTGAACGATGCGCGCGTGACTGACAAGGACATCGGTAAGTTCGTCCTGGCCCTTGAGGATGGAGACCAGGAGGAGGAAGAAACACAAGAACATCCGTCCATGTTCATCATGGTTCCTTTGGGGCATGGGCGGTGGTCGTCGTGCTCGGTCTGCTTTGTCAAAACCTGAGGAACCCCACGGACGATGAGATCGCCAAATGGGATGTTCAACTGCTTCGTTTTTTATCGTGCAGGTGGTCATCCTAGCAATCTGACTTGGCACCCTGGCATGACATGATGTCACCCCCGGCATGACATGCTGTCACCCCTGGCATGACATGATGTCATCCCTGGCAAGGTGAACAATGACCTTGGCACCGCTCATTGACAACGAAAAGTGTTAGACATTGGGATCTTTTCCCTCAAGCGCTATGTATTTTTTCACCACACACCTTCTATCTGGGGCCTATGCCGCTTGCCCCCGGCATTCTTGACTTTGGGGGCGTGACCCTTTGTGTCAGACTGCTGCATTGTCCCCTTGCCATGCCTTTGTCGCTTGAAACTGTCACGGTGTGGTGCTTGTTGCCGCTTGCTGCCTGCACCAAATTGCAGTGGCCAACTGTTTAGGTTGGGTTGCTCCAGACCATAGTTGTGCTGATCGTTATTTTGGGGCAGCTGTCACCAAAATATGCTTTGTTCGTGCCAGTGCGAGACTGGACCAAGGTGGCTAGCTACTCGTTGTCCTTGTTTTCATCGCTCTTTACTTGAGTCGCATGGGTCGCACGTGTGCGGCGCTGCAGTTTTGCCAAAAGACTGAACACAGCCAAGCCTCCCACCACTACGCGCACATGGTTTCCTGACTTTTTGAATTGTGCCACAGCTTGAAAACTGCTCATGGCCCTGGACTGCCAGGCTTCAAAGCTACCCTCAAAGACTTGTGAATTCGAAAACACTTCAGAATTGTAAGCTAGCAGCTAGCACAATCGTTTCTTCTTATCCGAGGGACAGGTAATAAGCAAGAAAAAACCCTGCTCACCGAACCTTGGGTCTTAAGAGCAGCCCTTGGATATGGGAGGTGCACTGCGCTTGGTGAGGTGGAATCAGCTTTGTAGGTGGAGTGGGCATTTGACAAAACAGAGCAACAACAAATGCAATACGGTTTAGGGGCTTGTGTGGTGGCGAATGGGTGTGCTTCTGGTACGGAAGTACGTTCTGTATGTGAGTCATTGCTTGGTTAGCAAGCTTGCGAGGAGATGGTTTGCAATGCGCATGGATGTCCTGTGGACTGCAAATTTGATGAGTGGTCTGAATGGAGTGAGTGCTCGAAGAGCTGTAGCACCGGGAACAGGACATCCACCGTTGAAAGATGTTGAATGCATTCGAGCTCCACTTATCCTGCAAAAACTTGTTGTAAGTAAATATTATTCCACCTAAGCTACTATCATGCCAAGCAACGCAGGACAGCAAGTCGGGCATTGATCACCTCTCCGCAGTGGGGCGGCCAACCTTGCGACGGAGGTGTTTTAAGGACAGAGTATTGCAATGAACAACCATGCCCGGAAGACTGCGCTTGGGGAGAATGGTCGCATTATTCGGTTTGTTCAAAGACTTGCGGAGGTGGTGAGATGTTGCGATCTCGACCACGAATTTCTGAGATGTACGGTGGACACCCATGCAGCGGCAATGAAACGGAGTCAATTGAATGCAGCACGCAAGGGTGTCCTCAAGACTGCCGGTGGGGACAGTGGACAGATTGGTCCTCTTGTTCGAAGGAGTGTGGCGGTGGATACATCAAAAGACTTCGCGAAGTGCTACAAAAGGCTGAGAACGGAGGAGATCCTTGTTTTGGATCCAATATGCAAGAAGCAGGGTGCAACTTTGATGTGTGTGCACAAGATTGCTCTTGGAATGACTGGGAACAATGGGCCCCATGTAGTGCCAGCTGCAATGGAGGAACCCGGTCCAAATCACGCACGAAGAAAGCAGAAGCAGCCAATGGTGGGATGCCTTGCGTTGGAAACCGCACCCAGATTGAAAAGTGCAGTGTGGAGCCCTGCCCAGTGGACTGCACTTTTGAACTTTGGGATTCATGGGGCGATTGCTCCACATCTTGCGGAAAAGGATCTCGGTTTCGCACTCGGGTGAAGAAGGAGGAATTGTATGGTGGAGCACCTTGTCAGGATGTTATGTGGGAGGCCAGCGATTGCAGTAATCCAGATTCATCCAGTTGTCCTGCGCACACCACCAGCACAACGACCCTTGCCAGAGCCTCAAGTGCCATGACGATTGCGATTCTAGCTTTTTCCACATAATAGAGCCTAAAGCCCAAAGTGAGGTTTCTTGAAAGAAAACTTTCCTTGAAAAAGGGGTCCTGTAAACCTCTAAACACCCAGGATTAAGCAAGAATACTACAAGAAAGTGAACTAGCATCATGTCTTTGTCGCAGTTCTTGTAGAGTTGGGCCGTCCACTTGACTGAGTTGACCCTGCTGAAACTTCCAGAGGGTGAGCTGGCGTGGAGCCACTTGCACAACGTATGGGAACCGCAGGCAGGCTCACTTTTCCACCATGATAATTTGAAATTTTTGTTTCATCTTGTTTCTAGCGGCTTTAGTGAGAGATATATGGTGGCCCCTTCCAACATGTTCTTGTAAAAGGACACATTCTTGTTAGCTTTTTGCGTTCTTGTCCTACTACATTTACATGTTTAGCTGCAAGTGTGCCAGGCCAGCCGAGGTCCACTCGCAATTCCTTCGCAAAATGACCTTTCCAAGAACTTTACAGAAAGATCCTTGTCATGAAAGATGCGAACACACCAAGTGCCACACACGAAAGATGCGGTTTTCTTTTGGCTTTGACTTTGTTTTACGAGGCAAAGACCCCAGCTATAGAGGTCAAGCTTACAAGCCCTGCCCAGAGGGTGAGCTCGACAAGATGCGTCTTGGAATGAGTGAGCCAGTGAGGGAGTAGATCAGTAGATATGATAGTTGGATGACATGGCCAAGACCGATGTTCATGTGACAGCTAGGTGTTCACAAGCTTGATCAGGCTTGCAAAGATGGAGGCGTTGAAGAAGCAACCTGGTGGCGTAGCGACCTGAGCTAGCAAAATGCAGCTAGCACTTTCGCATTGATGCTTCGCCCACTCACCTGGCACTGCGTCCCAGCTCTCAAGACAAAGCCAGACTTGAAGCCGCTTGAGGTTGCAAAAGGAATTGAAAAGATTCACAATAGAGCGTTGAATTCTATGGCTAAGGACGTTCTCACCGTCATTGTTTGCTCTGGCCTTCCACCGACTGCGAACATATTAAACATGAGACCTGCCATACCCAGGGAAGCTTGACGCTCCCACTCACTAACATGGAAGTGGGAACCCCCCTGTTTGTAAAGGAAAGTACTGTAGTCACTGCAAGGACCATTTTCCACTTCCATGTTAGTGAGTCAGAGTGTACAAAATCTAGTTGTTCGGGGTGACCAATTGTTGAGATGCCAATACGAGTCCACAAGCTGGACCTTGATGTAGGCTGCAAGCCATAGATGTCTCATGTCTCATCCTCTTGCCTAAGGCGAACTCAACGGAGGCTTCGGCTGTCAAGGTCATTGATGAGGTCATTGCAAATGTTTCTGTAGCCCGCAGGCAGCAATTACTACAGTAATGTAGTGTTCAGCTGTCTAGCATCGTCAAGGGCCGAGGTTATTTCCCTTGCTGCAAGAAGCCGGGGTTGGCAAGGTTGATGTACTCACGAGAATTCAAGTCATCCCACTGCCAGCTGCGTTTCGTATTAATACCCCTTCAGACTCTTGGCTCAATGGTCCAATGTGGATCTGCCGAGAATACCTTGTGGGATTCAAGCCGAGAGTTCTGACGGGGGTTAGATGTTCCACTTATACCACTTATGTAAGTACATTCGTTGTGGAAAGAAACACGGTGCCAAACTCATTATTGAGTGGTCGCAACCAAGGCCAAGGAGGCATTGAAGCAATTTCCGTTGCCTTTCAATCAAGAAGTCGGCAATTGGTCAGACTTGGCAAAGACAGCCGCGGGTGCAGAAACAAATTCATCGACCCTCGGACTTGTACTAGTAGCACTGTTTGTTACTACTGGTAAGGCACTTGTTACTAGTAGCGATGCACTTGTTCCTAGTAGCGTTCTTGTTACTACTAGTAAGGCACTAGTAGCACTGTTTGTTATTGGCTTGACTCTAATAGGGCACATTGACTGAGTTGAAGGACTACAGGCTTAATGTACGCTTTCCAGCGTGTCGACTTGGGGCTTCTGCCGTGCATGAGGAAAGACTTCACGGATGCTTTCGAATCAAACCAAAGAAAATTGAAGGCAGGATTGGGTGCTGAGCCCCTCTTGTTCATCACCCCTTCAAAGCTATACTGTTGAGAGAGGACTAAGTGTGGGTAGAACGACTTGTGCCGCCTGTGGGGGGTGGCCTATCTGTGTTTTGCAGAATGGCACGCATTTGGATGTCTAGTTGTCTAGCTCATAAAACTGCGTTATAATTAGGGGGCGAGTGTCCCGATGTCTACCCCCGCACTGTTTTACAGTTAGGCCGCATGTCTGGTCTTGAGCCTTTGTTCAGAAAACGTCTTGGAGCGAGCGAAGCCCAAACTCCAACAAGAAAGCACAACAAACTAACAGTCATCGGCCTCATCCAATAACCAGTGAAAGCTAGAAGTGGCCAGAACTACAAACAACCTAGCCTAGAACCAATATCGGATAAAACATCAAACATGGAGAGGAAACATCATTTTTTGACATAGAGCGAGGTCTGTTTGATCCCTTGGATGCAACTTTGGATGTGTCGCATAGTCTGAAATTTGAACTACACTGCGGCGGAAACGGCAGAAGAACGGACAAAGAAATGGCGGAAACAGCTAAAATGGTGGAAGCGGCTGAATTAGTGGATGCAGCGGAAAACAGGAAAGTGTGTTTACATCAAGAGTGCCGGCAATGAATTTGCCTTGAACACCGACAGCATCACTTTGCTTCAGACTAGCTTTCCACAAAACACCAGGAACTGTTAAGTCCTTTTTTGAGCGCTTACTTATTATGTATTTGCACGATTGTACACCTGTACATACCATATTGACCTCTATGTTTGGCTCAAGAAAAGGGCGCTCTACATGTTGGTACTTGTAGGCTGTTGGCCTGTAAATTCAGGTTATCAGCCGTATCGCCAAAGAGCGGTACGCGCCATTCTAGCTGTGTCACCTACCCACCCTCGTTCTGCGCACACGTGAGGTGGCATGGCGGACAGGCCCTTCGAACCAATTCGAGATGGCACGGATCGATCGAGGTCAAGAGTCGGTGATGCCGATGAGAATGGGTCATATGTACAGACGGAAGTCTTCACCTCAGAGCATGATGAGGATGCATTGGTTGAAGCACATGGGAACGTGTTGCCACCAGCCACATCGACTGGTGCTGTTATCCTATCTCCCACGAGCCCTGCCTTTGTTCCGTCGAGTACATACAATGATTCGAGACAAGTCATTAACCAAACGGCGAACTTCCACGATCAAAGAATGATCAACGTCAACCTGGACAAGTCCGCTGAAGTCGCACAACTTGCAGAAGCGCGACACAGGGAACTGATGTCCAAGAAAGATGAAGAAGTGAAAAAGACAGTGGAAGCCATTCACCGAGAGGCACACGACCATGTCAAGGAGCAACTCGAGTTACAAGAATGAAGAGCTGCATCTTGGGCTGCAAACGAGCAAGCTAAGATGAATGCACAAGAAGCAGTCATCAAGAATGCTGCGTTGACTGAAGCTCAACTATACAATCACAACTTGACAGAATTACAACAACAAGCACAGAGTCGTGAATCGCAGCTGAGGGAAGAGTTGAGAACACAAACAGAGCTCATTAGAGAACTTCGAGAGAAAATGGAAACATCCGCTCGAGGGAACTATGAGCCTGCTGGAACACCGGCTAACCTCAGGACAACTCTTCCAGGTCCAATGGGTTCAAACGAGCTACCACTGGGTCAACCATATCGACCAATGCAGAAATCAATGACTGATAGTTCCGGCGAACCCTACCGTGATGCTCTTGCGAGCGGAGCGGTTAATGCTCCGAAGGTAGCTGGAGGTGGTCCTCCAGATCATCCCAGTTCATCGAGTTCGTCTTCATCCGATGACAAGAAGAAGAGCAAGAAAGACAAAAAGAAGAAGAAGAAGAAAGATGACAAGGAAGAGAAGCGTGGCAGATCACCCCGCAAAAAGAACAAAAAGAAAAACAAAAAGGGGTCACCGTCACCGTCCGAGTCACCTTCATCGTCGAGCTCATCTTCTGAGGATTCATCCTTTGCCCGGAAGGTTAGAAAGCATTTGAAGAAAATGAAGAAAGAGGATCGTGAACAGAGGGCCAAAGAGGCTGAGAAGATCCTCATCCCCAAGTTTCCTACACCTGAAAGGTATAGGGATTGGCGAATTAAAGTTCGGGACAATGTGTCAGCGGCGTCCGCTAAGCCGGACAAGGCCAGGTTATGGCTAGGTAAGGTTTATGAAGACGCCGTGACCACTAAGGACCTGGATGACTCTGAGGGTTTCATCACGCTGGATGCAAAACTTCTTTCAAGTCTCACGAACTGTGCGGAGGGGGACCTTGCTCGCCAACTGAACACGTTTAAGGAGACCAAAGAGAAAGCAAAGGAACCGATTAAGGGACGACAAATTCTACTGTTGTTCCATGAGTACTTTGCTACATCCATCAAACACGGTGCTATTTACGATGTTGAAGATCTTATATGTGTTAAGATGGTGAACGAGGACCTGAAAGGTTTTGTCACGCGATGGGAGTCTGTTATTGCGGGGATGCGAACGGAAGTTGACAAGAAATGGCTTGAAGCATATTTTCATCTTGCTGTGAAGAACTTTAAGCCTTTAGCTCATGATCTTGCCATCTACGAACGCGCCTCGGAAGGGAGTGCCGAAAAGACTTATGACTTTTTGATCAAGTCAGCCAAGGCATACCTTGAAAGGAAACGTTTGGAAAAGATGAGGGATGCCACTAAGCGTAGTCTTGGAGGTAAAGACCCTGCAGCTCCCGTCATTGACCCAAGTGACAAAAAGCCGAAAGGTGTTTGCTATGAGTTTCAGAACAAAGGAAAGTGCAGTAGGCGCGACTGCCCATTCAAGCATGAGAAACCCCGTGAATCCGACTTATGATCGTGCGGTTGTCTGGTCCGCTGGTCCGCTGGTCCGCCGGTCCGCCGGTCCGCCGGTTCGCCGGTCCGCGGGTCCGCTGGTCCGCCGGTCCGCTGGTCGCTGGTCCGCCGGTTCGCCGGTCCGCCGGTTCGCCGGTCCGCTGGTCCGCCGGTCCGCTTGTCCGCTGGTCCGCCGGTCCGCTGGTCCGCCGTCCGCCGGTCCGCTGGTCCGCCGGTCCGCTGGTCCGCTGGTCCGCTGGTCCGCGGTCCGCTGCTCCCCTCCTCTCATGGATGCGCTCGTCCAGTGGTCCGGTCTGCGGTTCCGGTGGTCTATAAACTGGACAGGGAAAGATTTTTTTGTTCTTCAGACAGCAACGTTAGGCAGCGTCTGACAATCAACCTCGTTGGGCCTGCCCTGCAAGCATGATGCGGCGGAACGGAAGCGCCTCACCTATACCTGGGGCTTGAAGCCGAAAATCAGTAACAGAAGTCACCCTCATTGAACTGAAGTGATCATGCTTTGGAATGCCCACCAGAATCTCTGATGTACACCGTGCACCCTGCTTTTTCCAAACTTCAACGCCCCCATCCCTGGCCACCGCTCCTGCTAGTCTTGCACCACAGTGTAGGCGCAAGGTCTGCCTACGCTGCTGTTGTGGCTGACAGGTCTGCAATTAAGGGAGACAAGTTCGGATCTAGATTGTCATGACCAAATTCTGGGAAGGGCTCGGCGGGTGGAATACCTACGGGTGGATTGGTTTCACGCAGGTTTTGCAGGACCCACTTGGCTGCCTGCGCCTGAACAACCAAACACCTGCGGATGAGCTCTTTTCACACTTCCTTAGCGACTGTTGTATATCTCCACAACGGCTCACTCCTCATCTCTGGGCCGTTTGCGCCGATCTTCCTGGCGCTTCCTTTCCTGGTTGCTGGATGCTTTCTCCATGGCGGCCACCAGCTCCCGCAAAGTCAGCCCACAAGCCCTCATCAATTCATTGTGGTACTTCACCTTGCCCTGCGCTGTGTCTGGGATCACTTTCAAACACAAAGTCTCACCCTGGAGCTGAAGGATGCTGGAATGCTGCTCTGCGGCTGCCGCCATGACCGCTGTCCATTTCTCTTTCGGAAGCGCTTTGCGGCGGCCCTGCTCCCTGCTGGTGCGCATTTTGTCACACGCTTCTTTGCGAGTCATCTTTGGCTTGCCGGTCAGCAAGGTGTGCTTCAGGATTGCCCGGTCTGTCCAGTGACGGCTGAAGAGACCGTCAGGCTGGACTGTGACGCCATTCTCGCCAAAACCAAAATCACTTGCCCGCACTTCATCAAGAACCAGCGGCTTTTCGCCTGCGGGTGGATCTTGGGGCGGTAGGTCCTCCACGACTTCGGCCACGCTGTCTGGAGGCCTTTCAAGCGAGTTGGGCCCAGGTTCCGCATCTTCTTCTTCAGGTTCAAGTTCAAATTCTTCTTCCTCGCCAGCTTGGGGAAGTCGAAGTCCGGGACCATGCTGGGTCGAAGCAAAATCTTCCGTCTGATAAGGAACACGCAAAGTTGCCAAATCGAAAGCAGGTTGCGGACTTGGCTGCTGGGGAAAATGGTCTGGGCTAGCGGCTGCATCTCCCAAAGCAATATGCTTCAGCTTCTGGACCTGAATTCGCGAATATAGCGCCAACCACAGATCTTGGGTTTTTGAAAATAAACAAACAAGAAACAAAGTGCCAAGAAACCAATTGGAGCAGAGCATAGGCCCTTTGGCAATGATCTGGAGTGACCTGCAAATCCCTCCGTCCAAGAGCTTCAACACTGTGCGCACCCACAAAGATTTCAAACACCAGGAGCAAAGCCGCCAAAACTCCCACTTGCCACGGAGCGGCTCCAAAGCGAGCGCCACCCTGAACATCCCCTGATTCGCGAGACAGATGGGCTTGCGCATTCATTCCACCTTGGTAGGACATGTGCCAAGACTCCGCCTCCGGAGTGAGGGCAATGACTTGGTGAGGTTGGTCGAAGTAGGCAGTGACTCGGGAGACAGCGGCCGTCAGGGAGCACTCTGCTGGAATGGCAAAGCTTCTGTTGGCAACGCGCCACTGAGCTTCAAACCCAGACGTCGACGCAGGAGAACGTTTGAACCGTAGGCGGCTCATCTTGCCATCCAAGAGCCTCACAGGGTACCCATCTTCTGATGGGACATAGTCGCCCGCTGCATTCGCTGGGTGAGCTGCACTGCTTTTTCATCTTCAAGGCCAACGTCTTTCCACTCCTGAGCAGCGGCATCTGGCGAAGCAGCCTCTTTGGCTATGCCCAGCAGTTCCGCAATTTCGGCTGTGAGAGGAACCCATCGGTGCCGGGAAACTCCTGCGCTAAGCAAATCCAGCGAAGAATGTGAGCAGATTTTACAGAATCCAAAACGCTTTAACACAACACCCATCGCGCAGAACACCTGTCCTGGAGGGCAACAGAAATCTGCCGGCATGTCTTCATGCGGCTGCACAGGGCGGCCAGTGGAGATGACAAACCGTTCTTTGGTGGAAGCTGCGTGGCAACCAACCTCACCTCTTTCCATAGGGATGTATTGCGCAGGGTGCATATTGCAAGTGATCCCCATGCTAACGGTTCTAGCAAGCTTCTCTCCATAGCTCCCATTTGTTTTCGTGGCGCGAGCGCTGGTTCCAAACTGCAAGAGCTTGTTGAAGGCACTCTGGTACGGGTTCACCCTTGCCTTGGCTTTCTCCTTGGATGCAGGCCCATCGGACAAGAGACCCAAGCTGAGCAGGAAGTCGTAGGCCTCATCAAAATTCCCCAGCAAGCCAAACCAGCATCGGCCAGTCCAGTCTCCGGGCAACTTGTCAGCATTTCGGACCTGGTTCCAATCGCCCGAGCATCGATGGAACCACTCCTCAGGTGTTGCGCTGGCAACCATTGCGGAGAATAGCTTCGGCTTCAACCTGGCACAAATGGCGGGCTCGTTTTTGGTTAGAATTCAACACCTAAAACTTCCCAGCCCCCTGTTCCAACAGCCCGCTCACACCTGTGCTGCACTGGCGCAGGAGCGCCTTCTTCCACACAATATGTCGCCAGCTTGGACTCTGCGTTCGTCAAGATGACTGCGTCCAACTCCTGCCCACAAGCCTCTGCATGTCCTGTCAAGGATGATTTTCTCGTCTGGGCGTAGTTGACATTAATAGCAACCAACGTCAAAGGCGATGGCGAGGTAGCAAAGACAGCCACTTTGGCACCGTTCACAAGAGCACACATCAGCGACAAGCAGCGGAGGGCGTAAGGAAATTCTGCATGGGCTGCCCTAACAGCGTATGTTTGGCAGAAGCGGTGCCCAGCTTCTCCAAGGATGTAGCTTGGGTCGAAGCACTTGTCCACTTCATCCCACATCAAATTCATGGCAGGGATGTACTGTCTGTCTTCGTGGGCTCCAGACAAGGGCCCCAGAACTGACGACATGGCTTGGCCGCGCCACCGAGCTCAGAGCAGACGCGGCTGTCACGGCCATCATGCAAGGCTTTGTTGGAACACTTTAGTCAGACTTAGTCGAAGCTACGCAAAACAGTTTGGTTTCAAAGCGAGGCATCTGCACATGCGCACTGACAGAGTCATGTACCGCGTGATATGTAGCCGTTTGAAGCAACAGGTCGATGCAATGAGCGGGTACGACACACCATGAATTTTCCATTCCACAGCTTCGATCCAGTCTATAAGGCACAGGCCGTGCTTGAAATCCTAAATCTTAACTTTAGACTGTCAGTCGGTCCCTTCCACTGCCGCAGAGCCGGCGACCTCCTCTGGTCTGTAGCCTCCTTGGAGTATAATTTCATTGTGGCTCCACGCCATATCGAGCAAGAAGAATTGGAAGCCGTGCTTGTTCATGTGCTTGGTTTGGTGCTTGTACTTGCTCAACCAGGTAAAAGTGAATTCACAGACCGAAGTCCGAATGCCTTGAAGAAGAGAAGCGTTTGCAGGCAAGGCTGGGTCGCACGTCTCTTTACACCAAGCATCGGTATGGCCAGCCATGTGGAACTTGTCGCACACGTACTTCATCTCTGGCGGGGCTATCTGGGCAGCAGCTTCTGAATCCTGCGCATGGGCAATATAAAACGTGAAACGCATTCACGCAAGAAACAACAGAACACTAGCACGGTGCTTATAGCTCTCACTGCCCAAAGAATTTCGTGGCTTTGTCATCCCCTTTGAGTTTCCGTCCTGGGCGCGACGAGCCGCGTACTTGTGCAAATGGCAAGCATCATCGTGGACCACCACGCGAAGGGACGGCAAGAGGGCTTTCACAGACGCCAGACATAGGTATCTCTGGCTCAACGACTCACAGCCGTAGATTTCTTGCATGTGCAAAATCAAACCCTCAGACAAACACGCGCACAACATTCCAGCAGATTTGGCAAGCTGCCTTTGAGCAGCGCTGCCTTCCTTGTGTGTGCAGCAAGTCACGCACTGCAAATCTGTTGGGTCGGACGAGCGCCCAATCTCTTGCAACGTTAAACTCGCAAGCATCGAAGGTCCAAGCGATGAGGAAGAGCCGCCTCTGCCGTCTGCCTCCTCTTCTCGCCGTGGGCGTTTGCTGGGTTTCAACTTCGCCTCGCCCACTTGCTGCAAATAGTTGGACAGGACAGACGCTGGAACTGCAGAATCGGATACCCAAGCTTCTCTTTGAGGCTCCACAGTCTCTTTCAGCAAGACCATCAAGCACTGTCCGTCATTGATGAGCTTGTGCTGAAGAATGGTCACTTCCTGAGGCAGAGTGGCTGAAAAAGAAAACTTTACTCATTTTTGCGGTTGGAAATGCTTTGCCCCCCCGCCTGGAATTGATCATCTTGACTGCAATGGGCGGGACAGAAGCATCTCCGAAAAGCGGGAGTATTGGCACAGTTGTGGCGGACCACCCGGCGCAATTCCTTGGAAAAAGTTCCTCCGGCCAATGAGGCTCCGCAAACAGCTCGACGATTTTTTGCATTGCCATCGAGCACAACAACGTCACAGCGCATCGTGGCTTTTTGGGCTTCCTCCAAGGTAGTCCTGCCAAATTCTCTTTGCAACTGCGGCAAGAATAAGCCAATCATGTCCTCCATGGGCCGCAAGAAATCAAAAGATGCTAGGTCCAAATTGCTTTGGTGCACCCGGGTGAGGAGACGCCAAGCAAACCACCCCTGGCTAATGAGAAGCCGCAATCGAGCTGTTGGTAAGAGATGGAGCTGGGAATTGTAAGCTGCCTGCGCGCCGAGCACATCTGCTTCACTTGTGAAAGACGCATGTTGCCTCACCATGCGTACGTGAAACTGTTGCAACCAGGGGACACTGAAGCCGAAGGTGGCGGACAACATGAAGCAGTTCAACTCAGGTAGCTCTCCTGCAAAATGATGGCACCCACTCCGCACGGTATAGTTGTACCACAGCAGCACACCAAAGTCTGGACAGGAGGATCGCCGACATCTCAGTGGAATGTGTTGTTTCTGGACCAAACCCGACAGATCTACGACGATAGCTGCAGCAGCGGAGCTCCGACATTCAGCAAGTCGTCCTCCGCGCCCAGGGCAAGCAACAAGCTGCGGCACCAATTCTTGAGCTTTGCTTTCCCGGCCGAAAACAGCAACCCTTTGGTTGAAGAGCGGTTCTAATCTGGTCGCCAAATGATGGACTAGTTCTGGCGAAATTTGCGCAGCCGGGTCAGCGTCACAAATGGCTTGCGCAAGGACCCCATGGCACTGATGCTGTGGATTCGTCATTGCAGCTGCATGAAAAAAGAAAATGCTAGATTGATGTTTGCTGATAGCAGGGTGGCTTGCGGGTCTCGCGCTTGCAATCGGCAACTTGCATACTTGCATGCTGGTTCAAAAGCAGAAGCACGGTAGACGTTTGCAAGTCATGTTTTCGACCGCGGTTGCAATCATGCGCCGATGAAAGAAATCAAGAGACAAGGCCAGCAGCTTGAGGATGAAAGAAGACGATGCGGCCAAGTGAAAAGGCTCATGCCATGGGCGACACAGGCAGCAAGCTGTTGGCAAAGCGATTGACTTCATTAGTACAGCCAGACGAAACTCCCACCGCGCCTCCAAATGCCAAGCGGCGAAGCAGCAAGGCGAAGCCTGACCAAGGACGCATTGAGTGTCCCGGGCTGAAACTCAGTAGTAGCAGCAAAAACAACAAGAACAACAACCAAAACACCCATCACCACCACCATTATTATCTCCGCTGGTCCGCTGGCCTGTTGGTGGCGCAGGCAAGGGTGGGAAGGGTGGGACTCTATGTCAAGTGCTGGCGCCCGCTGGTCCGCTTAGCCGCTATCCGCTGGTCGTTGCCTGCACTGCTGGTCCGCTCGTCCGCTGGTCGCTGCTCCGCTGGTCCGCCGAAGCTGGTTCGCCAGCCTGCTGGTCCGCCGGTCCGCTGGTCCGCCGGTCCGCCGGTCCGCGGGTCCGCCGGTCCGCCCCAGTCCGCCGGTCCGCTGGTCCGCCGGTCCGCTGGTCCGCTGGTCCGCTGGTCCGCCGGTTCGCCGGTTCGCCGGTCGCTGGTCCGCTGGTCCGCCGGTCCGCCGGTCCGCTGGTCCGCTGGTCCGCCGGTCCGCCGGTCCGCCGGTTCGCCGGTCGGCGGGTCCCTGGTCCCCCGGTCCGCCGCTCCGCTCGTCCGTCGGTTCGCCGGTCCGCGGGTCCGCTGGTCCGCTGGTCCGCTGGTCGCTGGTCCGCCGGTTCGCCGGTCCGCTGGTCCGCTGGTCCGCTGGTCCGCCGGTCCGCTGGTCCGCTGGTCCGCCGGTCCGCTGGTCGGCTTGGACGGTAAGGGGATCGTGAGTGGTGAATCCAGCAAAGGGAGGCCCAAAGGTGGTGGAAAGGGTAGATCTTCTTCTTCACGTGGAAGGTCGTTGACTCCGGGATCAAGATCGGAAGTTTGCAAGTTTTGGAAATCTGGTGACTGTCACCGGGGAAAGAATTGTGCTTTCAAACATCCCGATCGTTCTTCTACACCCGCACCAAGTGACGACCGAAAGAAACGAAAGAAGAAGAAGAAGGAGAAAAGAGAGAAGAAGAAACGAAGTACTTCTCGTGGCTCCAACGGTTCTGGCGGTAGTCAGAAATCCAAAGGTGGGAAAGGTGCTCCTTCTAACCCAGCTGCTGTTTGCCTGCTGCGCACTCTGGTCTTAGCTACTGCGGTCTCATCATCGCAGTCTGCTACTATCAGATGCCCGTTGGAAAGCGTGGCCATGGTTGCTACACCTGCCACCAATTCTTCCCCATCATCTTCGTCAGGACGGGGAAAAGTGAAGTGCCTTTCTTTTGCTGACAAACCAGAAGTTTTTAACCGCGTGGTTCATTGCAATTCTTTAATGTTTCCAGTTGTTGCGCGAAAACAAAGAAAGCATGTCAGTTTCCCAATAGGCCATAAAGGAAACGCTGAAGTTTTGGAAATGGCATCTGAAGATGCATGCATCGCAGCAGAACGTTTGAGCAGAGCTGTTTCAAACGAGTTGAATGGCATCGAGGCACGCTGTTGCTATCTTTGCGATTCGGAAATGGGATGCAAGCATTGTTTTAAGAACCAACAGGTCACAATGCCTGCGACCGAGATCGCATGGATTGCAGATACTGGCAGTGCGAATGATCTGGTATCTAGGGAAATGGTCAATCGCAACGAAGTGTTCGAATCCTCGAAACCGGTTAGTCTTCTTACAGCTAACGGAGTGTTCCAGGCTAATGATCAGGCTAATCTTGATATTCCCTTGTTGGGAATCACTGCAAAACCATATGTACTTGATGATAGTCCGGCAGTGATATCCGTGGGACAATTATGTATTGATCATGATTGGTCGTTCATTTGGCCGTCAAATGATACACCATATTTCAAAAAGCCAAATGGGCAGAGGATCAAGCTTCAAGTGAAGGATTATGTTCCTTATTTACCATCAACCAGTGGTATGGCTATGACTGCTATCGGACACAAGTATGAAGAACATGCTTCCGGGAACGGCAAGTCTTCGTACATTCCGATCCCTACTTCACCTAGCGTAGAGGAAGCACCCCATGAGTCTGCGGAAGCAGAACCCGAAGCAGTCGATGCCAGGTTAGTCCCCGATCCACCAGCGGAAAAGCGTGATCGTGGTGAACAAGCCTTGAGGCGGGAAGCAAAGTCGCTTGCGCATTTGTTGACGCATGTTCCTAAGAACCCTTTTTGCACGACATGTTCAAGGGCTAAGATGACTAAGCCACCATCGTACAAGAAGGGAGGATCCGAAACTGTTGATGCTGACAAATTTGGTGATCACATCACTGCTGATCATCTCATTCTTCGGGATGACGAAGAAGAGGCTATCGATGGTTCAAGAAACGCTCTAGTCGTTAAGGACATAGCTACGGACTTTAGATATGTATATCCGTCGGCTAGGAAAACGACTAGAGATTGTGTTCTTGCATTGAAGCACTTCACCCGGGGACGGGATGACATTGGTGTGTTCTATTCAGACAATGCAGAAGAGCTTGTCAAGGCAGCATCAGAGTTGAAATGGAGACACGTTACAAGTGTTCCCTATATCTCCAAGGGCAATGCTCAAGCAGAGAGAAGTATTCGATCCGTTCTTGATGGAACTCGTATCAATCTTGAACAAGCGGGTTTGCACCATACATACTGGACGCATGCCGCCAGACATTGTTGTATGGCGCACAACATACTCGGTGATCAGGAGGCTCAAACACCATGGCAACTCAGGTTCGATGAGAAGTTCAAGGGACCAATGATTCCTTTTGGAGTGAGGGTTGACTATTGGACCGGACCAAAAACCAAAACCAAAGAAAAATTGAAATTCGATCCTACCTCACTACCAGGAGTATTTTTGGGATATAAGATTCACCCTGAATTCTCATGGAGAAAAGAGTTTCTTGTTCTCCCTCTCAAAGAGGTGATGGACAACAACTTTGATAGTAGTGTGCCATGGGTTGGAACGAACAAACTCGCTTTGCCTGACGGAGATTTTGTGTTTCCACTGAAGGACAGGTATAATGCTATCCGTGAGGGTCGCATTCCATGCTACATGATATCGGACGATCCTCCGAAGCCGGAAGATGAGGATGCTAAACCTGTGGAGGAGTTGATTGACAAAGGTCCGATGGAAAGTGGCAAAGCACTTAAAGTCCCTTCGACTGACGGAATGGTTGATCATACAAAGAAGGATGCGTTTGAGAGTGGGATTTATGATCCTGGTGAAGATGAAGAGGGCAAAGGAGGTTCCTCATCATCATCATCCGGTAAGCCCAAAGATCCACCCAAGGATCCTTTCGAAGGCGTTCCGCCTGAAGACATGGTTGAGGTTGTTGATCCTGTTACAGGTGAAGTGACCTCAATCCCAAAAGAGGGGTCATCATTCTACAGCGCGGGGGGATATAAAACTAGGAAATACAAAGGCACTTCCAAACCACCAGATGTTCCATCCTTTCTTTGGAAGGCCGCTTCAAAGGCAGCTCGTGAGAAAGAGATTCGAAGATACGAGCTTGAAGAAGCGAGAAAGAAGTTCAAAGCCGCTGCTGCAAAGGTCAACAATCTGAACAACAACGATCCTTCTTCCCCGAGGGATCGGGTTGACCAAAATGTTGACGTTCCTGCTATGCCCGTCAAAGAGGTGATCAAACATGACCACCGCGACAGACTAGCCACAGCACATGAACTCGTAAAAGATATGATCTTGAACGCACTTGTCGCCAGACCGGTAGGTCCAAAGGAGGTCGGTGAGAACCCTGCTGCTCAGGCTTCACTCGATCTTGAATGGAACAAACTTGAGAGCAAACCAGCCTGGTGGTATAACACTGTTCAGGAATGGGAACATGTTGCTAGTGAAGCTAGGCGCACTGGTGAAAAGGTTCACGTAGGAAAGATCTTTGAGCTATGTGTTGAGAAGGGTAGCGAATTAGCGAAAGGCAACCCCCTCAGAAAGTTCAAAGGTAGAACGGTGTTCCAAGGCAACAATGTTAAGGATGAGTCTTCTGAGACGGCATTGTTTGCAGAACTTGGTTCATCGCCTGCGAACATGGAAGCAGCCAAAGCATTGGATTGCTATGGATCTGCTCCGGGGAACCGGATTAGCCAGGGTGATGGCAAGCAGGCATACACCCAAACCACACTGAAAGGCCCAGAGACATGGATTCGCATCCCGCGAAACCGTTGGCCTAAGGAGGGGGTTGGTAAATACAAAGACCCCGTTATCAGGCTCGTCTTGGCATTGTACGGACACCCTGATTCGGGGGGCTTTTGGGAGCGACATTGTGAGTCGTGTCTGATCAAGGTTGGATTCAAAGCACTTCACCCTGAGTGCTGGCCATCCATGTTTTGGCATGAACGATTGAGACTGCTCCTCGCGGTATACGTCGACGACTTTAAGTTGGCGGGACCTAGGGAAAACCATGATGAGGGATGGAAGCTCATAGGTGAGCACATCGAAATGGATCCTCCCGAAGACGTCGGTAGGTACCTTGGATGTGAACATATTGTTCAACATGAGGTCAAACTTCCTGTTGAGCTTCGCCCATGTTTTCGATCATTCTATCCAGGACCCCTCAAATGTGCCTGCAGCTTCTGTAGCAAGGACTGAGGACTACTGGACGCACTTCCCTGAACATGGTACGTTTGTTCATCACCACGTTCAACCTAGAAAGCGATTTGATGTTCGGCCGACTGACGCTCTAGGATTTGAACCCGGTAGCATTCGTTGCACTATTGCGTTACCATGCGCATCGGGAGATGGTGCCAGGGA